TAATAGTAATAATAATAATAGTAATAATAATAATAGTAATAATAATAATAGTAATAATAATAATAGTAATAATAATAATAGTAATAATAATAATAGTAATAATAATAATAGTAATAATAATAATAGTAATAATAATAATAGTAATAATAATAATAGTAATAATAATAATAGTAATAATAATAATAATACCTTTATTAATACGTGTGATAATAATTACAGTGGTGGTAGTGGATCACTTGTCGATCAAATGATGAAAATGATGGAAGAGGTGAGCGACAGATATATATTTGCTTGATCGTTCCATGATGCATGACTCAGATAATACTGCAATTGTTCTGGCCACTGCACCAGTTGCAAATTGGCGATCCAATTAACAATCAACGAATTCGCTTCTTACAATTCAAGCATCACTGATAACTTTTTATACATCTTTCCGAACACGGTCATAACTCTAAAACTGTGTGTGTTGCCGTGTCTCGATTCACTTCACTCACAAATAATTTTTCACGGTTTCCTTTGTTTCAATTTTTAGTACACTCAAAATTTGGAGACACAAGTTCGTGAGAGGACAAGTTTACTTGAAGAAGCACAGCAACAAGCCGATCGCCTTCTTTACAATATGCTCCCGAGGTTAGTTGAAAGTTTTGCTGAAATTCATGAAGCCCTCCAAAGTTTCTTTTCACATTTCCATTCCAAAAGTATATCTTACGATGGCAAATACAATTTATGAAATTAATTCATTCCAGCACTCGTCTCGTCAACCGAAAAGTTCATAAATTCAAGCATAACTTTCCATAGTAATTAAAGAAAAATGAACGAATTCGTTTCAATCAACGCAATTCTTCATAGTGTAACTTTTCATTGGCAATGCAAAGGATAGCAATTGTAGACCTCAGAAAATAGGATAAAGAAGAGTGTTTTCATGAGCGAGCCGCGTTTAGATATTCGAGTAAAAAAAAATACACCATCACAATGGCGTTCTATCATAACTGACGACTGCATGAAATATTCATTTTCCGACCCACATCATTATCCCCCTCCCTGACAATCTCAAATTACCCAAAACGGGTAATTTCATTCCCTGTATGAATTCGCATTCTTTTCAAACGTCTTGTATACACTCTCATAGCTTTATCCTATTATCCTAGACACTATTCTTCATTCCCATTTTTGCGAACGTTTTCACTGATTTCTATTGTTTTGCACGTTGTTCGATCGCGGTGTATTGCTGCTAAAACGATTGCTCGTTGTTTGTTTGAAAGGTCGGTGGCTGAAGACTTGAAGCTTGGCAAAACAGTGCATCCACAATTGTACGCATGTGCTACCGTACTTTTCTCGGATATTCCCGGATTTGCGAAGATGTCTGCATCTGCGACGCCAACTCAAGTGGTACAATTCCTCAACGATATATTCGCTGGTTTCGATGATATCATTGCAAAACATGACGCTTACAAGGTTCATCTCAACTGTAAATTTTTTCAGCTACCTCATCGTTCTCGTTTTATCTCCGCCATAATTTCGTCTGCAATCATGAAGTTCAATCAAAAAAAAACAAATAATCGCAGATTAAATAACAGTCAAAAATTCAGTCATTCAGTGTTGCGCTCAGTTCAAGAACTATTACTCGACTTCAGGTTGAAACGATAAGTGATGCGTATATGATTGTTTCGGGTGTGCCAAAGGAAAACGGCAATGCACATATTCGAAATATCGCCGATATCGCACTCAAAATGAATGCAGTCAGTTGACCGTTTTTAAATCTCATTAATATGAACTGAAATTAATCATCCACATTTTTGAATTTGAATCAGTCATTACCATTTCGAATAGATAGGTGGACTTGGAGCCGTGAGTGATAATGCTAGTCTCCAGACAGTTCTGCACGGATACCGCACACTTTTGTCGCATTTGATTCATTTCTGGGCAACAATCGAAGCAATTCTAACGTAATGCCAAGTAAAAATTTCGATAAGTTGAATGTAAAGCGAACATATTAAAAATCGTAATGAAAATAAAAATTACATTTGTCCAATCAAGTCGTTTGTGCTCAACAGATCAAAAATTTCCTTGATCGGGAGTTGAGGAATCAATTTCAGTTTATGAGCACTTTTAACCTATCCTATCATAACGATGGTACACCAGCGATTCGTATTGGTTTCCATAGTGGTTCGGTAGCAGCTGGTGTTGTTGGTTTAGCGACACCACGATATTGTCTATTCGGTGATACGGTTAATATGGCGTCACGTATGGAGAGTACCGGACTTGCGAATAAGATACAGGCATGTTGAATTCCTTTCACATAGTGATAACGAAGCATGTGTAATGTTGCTGTTTCTTCAAAAGTAATTTCTTTCTATGAATTGCAAAACTCTAACAAAATTGTTCACTTTGATGTGCTTATGAAACCGAATGAATTCATGTGAGCATCAGTTGACATGACTGATTAATGTTGCAGATGAGTGAAAGCAGTGGCAGTCTTTTGAAGTGTTTCTATCCTCAGTTCGTGATCACAGAGCGTGGTTTAGTCAATGTCAAGGTAACGATCAACTTTAATGGCACCTACGACTTAACACAGCTGAAACCAGCGAACATTTACGGATGAATTTCTTGCTTCAAATAGTAACGAAAACTTTTTTCCAGGGCAAAGGTCAATGCTTGACATTCTTTCTTGAGTCGAGAAGGCCAGATTCGTGATCAGTTTAGTCATATTGCTGGTGCTCGATTAAGTGTTTCGTTCATCATTTTATCGTCATAGTCTTCAACTCAATCCAAATGGTCATCATCAACCAATGTGCTCAATTTACAATACATGAATTTACTGAACTATCATCGCATCCTCATCTGACCGACTGATTCTCAATGAATCGATAATTCTTCATTCATTCTCCAAATAATCAGAATATTATTTCGAAGTATTTATACATGACTAAAAAAGACTTAAAGTTATGTTTAGTTCCTGAGATACAGGTAAATTTCGAGAGGTTTATCATATAGTTTGGCAATTTCATTCTACCACCTATCTCTATAAATTTCAGATATTTCGGATTTGTTGACAATCGAAATAATTGCTTGGTTAATCCAGATTGAGTAGATCATAAAGTACAAAAAAGCATGGATGTCGTGGGAGGGAAATGCCCAGTTCAAAAGATATGCTATTTTTGCCAACTTATCATTCTAATATTAGAACATATTCAAGCCATATTGATCGTCAAGTTAGTACGTATGTTGACGGAAGAAAATGCTTATTTCATGAAACGGGGTTCAGTTTCGGAAGTTCCGTCATGTAGCTTGGTGACTTCATCATAACGTTAAACTGTGTGCAGTTGATTGTCATGCTGACTAATAATGTACTATTTCTATCTAACAATAAACTGTTCGCTCCATCATAAAATTCAGTGAACTAACACTGCGTTTTCACCACATTAACACTCTAAAATATTTATTCGCAGCTTTTTACATTTCGTTCGTTTAGTGTTGAAAGGTTATTAGATGGATAACGAAAACCGAATAGAAATGATTTAAAATATTTATGTAAATAAACGAATGCATGATTATGTTTGCTGAAGTGTGTCCTGAGTGGTGATTCCTTTTTTCGTTCACTTAAAAACAATATCACCGAGATGAATTGTCTCGTCAGAACGTTTCTTCTTCATCAGACACTGTATCGGACTGTAGAAACATGGTCTCAAACGTTTGAATTGTGGCTGTCGCAAATAAACTGTCCTTTTTGGTGCTCCAATCGCAGTGTTGCTATCTCCCATCATCGCTGCAGCTGCTTCTCTTTCTTGTTCCTTCACATCATAATCTGCTGTCAGTCTGAAATTGCTGTTCTAATGATCATGATTATCAGAAATGCACAAAAAATAAAGCCTTCCGAAATTCGAATTGAGATTATTAGTATTACTGCTATTGCTACAATTATCATCACTATTATTATCATCATTAGTATTTCTTATTATAAAATATGGATAGCTGGCAGAATGACAAATGTTTAGCTAATAAAAATTCAGTATCAGTATCAGCAGATGCTGCGCTGCGGCAACAGCAAGTTTACCAGAAAACTGACTGGTCATTAGGTGTCGGTGGTGAAAAACTTAAGAGAATGAATGAATCGAAGGATTATAGTAAAATAAGAACGGCAGTGACGAGACAAAACAATGAGATAAAATCATTAGCGGTGATGTTCATTTTATACAATATATTTGAACGTTCTTCATTCAGCATTCAAGCAGCAACTTCATCATCAATGCAAAAATGATGATGACGACCGTAATCAGATGAAACTCAATTTCATTTTGCTTCGAATCTTCGTAGATGAATGAATGCTTGATTGAGAGAAAAGTTTTCAGTGATTGTAAAAGAAACACGCAATGCAATTAGGTATGTATGAGGAGACGACAACGTCGTAATTTCTTTACGATTCTCAATTCCTTATCAAAATTATGATCGTGACTGAAATCATTTTAGCTGCTCAACTGAGTGATGATGATGCGTGAAACTTTATTTCATCTCCAAAACGTCCTTTTAATCAAGTTGGCCAACTGCGTTTACGCGAACAGTTAATACAGATTGACAACGTGGTTTGAACAAAGAATTTTCGAGGCGTATCGTTCGTTCCCATTGATTTAAGTTATTAGTAGTTCATCATCACGTTTTACGATTTTGGTTTTTCTAATCAAAAATGCGTTTCAAACTTGTGAAAACTGCTGAGGAAACAGACAAGAAGCTTCTATGTTTGAACGACGAAAACCGCACTTGCATATGATCGAGGTTCACGTTTGAGATAACATTTTTTTAGAAAATCATGTTTATGCAAGCTGTACCCAAAAGGTGAAGTAAATAAACTATGATTACGGATAGGATATGATTTAGTACAGTGGCTGGAAGTAATAAGACAGAGGCAAATGGCCGGAAGCGCGTGAAAACCACAGTTTTAGATCGTGTTCGCAACCTCTTTCGGCCAACTGCTTACTTGAACAAGGATCACAGCTAAATCGCCCATCCCCTCTTCAATACCAACAATAATCTATGATCACTGTCAAGTGAGTAGAGGTAGCAGTGGAATAATACTTTGCAAGAAGTTCATCCGTTTCGTCGCAATCATCTTTCTAAATTGTTTTCGTGCACTAGCGGGTGATACTGTTTACTCGAATGTATCCAACCAAATAGCGACTTAACAACGAAGCAGAACTTTGGCACGTCAGATTGTCGATAGTGTGAGAATGATAACTGATGACTGAATGCTGTGAATTTTTGATCGGCAATATATGACTCGTGTGTTAGAATCTTTTTCACAAAAATGGTTTGTGTGAGGTGACACCAGGCAAAGTTAAAACAACAAATCTAAGAGGTGATTAGCACCGACGCGGTCTCAGAGGTTAAGCAAGCACTTGTGATTTGAACCTCAATCAAAAACCTTTGTTAGACTCCGTCTGCTACGGAGGAATTCAGCGAATTGGAACTCTTACTCTGGTGTCGAAAAGTGTTGTTGTGCGAGACGATCATTCGGATTCAAGAAAGCGAGTTCAGTGCTGCTACTGATCGTAATCGGTAGAACGAAAAGCATGATGAAACCAAATAATGCAGAATAACTGAAGAACGGTAGTGACTGACGGATGCCAGATTTTGATGATGAAGAGGAACGTGGTGACGAGTACGATGACGAAGATGATAATGAAACCATTATTGGAAATTAGTTCAGTGAATTAAGAGGATCGCTTTAGGAATTTAAAAAATCAGTGAATGAATCGAATTTGAATCGTGTGAAATACTTCTATAATGAGTGCTTCAAATTTGAAGATCCAATGACTAATTGTGGTAATGTATTCACAAACTTCCAGAATACAATACCAATTCAGAGCGTACACATGAGGTGTACGAATGGCCGGCCTTTGCACAACTTGACAATAATGCAGCTAGTTCAATGTAACCACCTAACTAAGCAGTATTTGCTTTCAGAACTGAACTCAACATTTCAGTGAAACGCAATAAACTCTGTGATATTCTTAATGACGATGATGTCTTATTCAAGTTGTTCATATATAAGTAAAAATAAGCTGAACAGATGACAATCAGATTTTCAGCTCAATTCAATTTTGCAAATACTTCATTCTAAAACAACGAATCAGATCTTGGACAAGCATCCAAGACATTTTTGCTGCTGCTTAAGACACGCCTTGTATAATTTAATTTTATTGTTCTTTATCATTTCATTGTCACCATTATAATCACAATTATACTACATTCGTCCTCATCGTTATCACTCGAATTTCAAATGGAAAATGTAAAATCATAAGAGTGCGTATCTTGTTGGCAGTGTTGCTCACACTTTAAAAATATGCCATTAGATTAGCCTTACCGACCGTCCAGTGCTTATTCTTCAGAATATGAGATCCCTTCTCAATCGATAATATACCCGGTTAACAACCCATCTTTTCGATCCCTTCAATGTTCCAATACGCTCTGATCAGTTTCGTTATCACATGAGATCTTTAGTTTTATTTTTTGTCATCAACCTTATCATACTATTGGGCTATGGCCAAGAAACAACTGAATGTTAACTAAACCGCTATGAAGAAACAGATTTTACTAGATTTGTTACGCACATGCACATATGCAAAAAAAGAACTGACTCACGAACAACATTTCAAAAGATTCTCATAAGCGAACCACCAACAATAGCAATGAAATTATTCCAGCAATCAGACGAAGCGTAGTTTGTTGCTCAGTTGAGAACACATGATTTGTAGCAACTAATCGATAGGTTATAAGCAAATGAAACGATGATGAGTGGATAAACATATTAAAATCGGGTAAATGAATAAACAACGCTCAGTGAACAAACACAATCTTATATGATACAAATGTTTTCACATTAATTGATAAAATCCATCATAAACAAGCGGTGTCTTCTTGCATACATTCATTCATTAATATATTCGATAAAACAGTATCAGGACATATAAATAACAAAAAACTGTTTATTTAATATATAAATTAGCATTTTGAAACACTGTAAACAGATCAATAATGATGAATATACACAGCAATTGTGATAAAGATGAAAACCCTCCTCATTTTTATCAAATACTCCAATCACGAACCGATTAATGAATCAAATTATCTTCCGTTAAACATCAATTTGATTCAACTACAATATGAATAAATTAAGTGGGAAGTTTCGCTTTGAGACGACACTTTTGAAGCGTTGCTCTATAGATGAACTGCTTACTGGACAGTTGACGAACCTCTTTCAAATAGTTTGGCAAAGTCATTGTTCCTTGTTTAAGCGCTTGACCCAAGAAGTAAATCGTATCATCAATCGCACAATCGTGCACATAGCAACGCAGGAGCTAAACACAGAAATACATTAAAATAGAAACCGAACACATCACTTGTAAGTGCCGGATTACGAATTCGATACTCGATTTTGAAGGAAAGTTTTGCCTGGAATTGGGTAAGTGATCGACTACTAATCGATTAGTTCTTTTTGAACTCAGTTTAATGGCAGCTTCTTACTCAGTTGTGAATTTATGATTTGAGACAACTGATCGAAAAGTTATACTTATTCACTTCGATAGGTTACACTCACTTACTTCACAATATGGATATTTCGTAACTATTCATTCAGTGTCGATCAATAAATGGACATAGAGCTCAACTCATAAATTGATTACGAAACGATTACTCAAGCAATTAACTGTAACATTCACCTGCTTATGCAATGGCGTACACGCATCGATCAACGAGTCAATATCGACACTTACATCTTCTGGATGCGACGTAATTATTGATTGCAATTCTTCTTTTTTCTCCTTCAAACAAAATAAGTCGTCAAAGCTGTTGTCAACTGTACGACTGAGAAATATCTTTTTTTTTCTAAATACTGCAAAACAACTATACAAATGTACGTACGCGATAAATGAGCAATGATTCATCGATTTGTTTTTGTTCTCTGCTCAATTCATCAGCAATACTCTTCAACTTTTGTTGACCGCTGCGTAAATCCGAATGGGTTTGCCTAATGGACGCTAACTCAGCGTGGACTGTACCTGAAACGGCATACTGCATCATTCATATTGCTATTATAATGTACAACCAAGAAGCTATTTTAAACAAAAACCATCCGCTCAAACGGTTGAATCTCATATATTTCTGATTTCAGTGAATTTCGAAAGGAATAGAATAAATGCTCTAGTTATGATGAAATGTTTCTATTAGATATACAAATAGTGATAAAAGAAGCACAAATATTCAAAAACAACACCTAATTTTTCACGAAGCCTCTGCTTGACTATATCCTCAATTGCACTCAACAATGACGCCTTTAAATGTTCCGGTTGTATGGTACCAACTGATGCTTGGCTAGCACTTGTAACATTCGATAATGATCCTCCTCCTCCACCGGCAACACTTGCGGGTTGTTGAGCGGGCATTGGATTAGGAAATGAGGGATACGCATTTGGATAGGGTGGTTGGTATGCGCCTGCAGAATACTGTCCAGCACCCGGCTGAGGTGTACTCAGTGGATAGGGTGGCATTCCAACAGACTGCGATGTCGGATATGGTGTGTACGGAGAGGACTGCTGACTACTCGATGAACCACCACCTACGTTTGTGGTTGCTGATACACGTGAGGCATTGCTTCCGGCTGGCTTCGCGAACACTGGGCATGTTTCACGGAAACATAGTGACATGACCTGACAACACATTCTTTTTTTGATGTTATATTATACGAATTAGTGGTTACATATCGACTGATGCATAACAGCTCACTAAGAAATACAAGAGATGAGAGACAACCTGAAGCAATCCACTGAGGTCATATCCAGGAAAACGCCAGTCCGTCAAATATGGTAAATAAATTCGGCCTTGTTTATCGACAGTTTGTGATTCTTTCACCATCATATTCGATGTTGGACATACATAGCAGATCGGCGCATAATATGGATGAGTATCCCATAAATATAACGCAACCGGGATGTTGTACGTATTACCCTAGAAAGTAACAGCGACTGTGCTTTGTTTCATCAAAACTACAATATTGCCTCAATCCATGAAACTGAATTATGGAAACCTGCTTCAGCATGAAAAAAAAGATAGCATCGAAAACATTTTCGTACCTTATACAGAACTGGTATCGTTCCTTTTAATCGGAACGTTAAATTTCGGGTTCCATCAGGAAATGTGAAGGTTTCGGCGTCCGGCGAAAGATCAGGGAAAATGTTGAGTGCTGTTACAATATCAGATTTTGCTGATTCCACATATTTGGCCCTTGTTCTTTTTAAAACAGCAACAACTTGAGATGCATTACTCATCTGAAAGAAAACGAAAAAAAAACAGTCAACCTCCAGAATTTTTCTTCTTTCACGAAAACGCGCAATAACACTTGAATTACGCAACCAGTCGAAATCACAGAAAGTTGCGCACGATCACTACAAACTCACACCTAAGACGTTAACAGTCTTTCACAAAACGTTGAACACACACGACGCCTGCAACTTGCAAAATTAGCCCTTATAAAAATTGGGTGACCGATTTTGCATCTACGACAAGGTCTAACTGCGACAAAAATGATGAAGTACACGCATGCCACTCAATGATGAGGCACGCGCAACTTGTCGGAGTGGCACATTATCGTTGAGCAAACTGTCGTGAAATTATGATTAAGATGAATCTTTTGCCACATCAATCTAAATACTGCACGTCTGCACCCTAACTTAAATGCAATCAAAGAGCAGGAAATTATTCATGCTTGCAGCGTAAACGGGCTGGCTGAGCACGCTTGATAGCAGGGGTGCAGTAAACGAAGAACAAGCGCACTCATGTACATTAACCGTATGTCAGTTGCGTATGTGAATCAACAAAATTTATACCAGTATTGCGTCGAAAGAGTACACTTTTTGAGGACAGTGAACTGCAGAATGAATGCAGTAAGTACAACCATTACTCGCAAAAAGAAACTCCTTATCTTATGAGGTTCTCTGCTAAGAAAAATGCTCATTATCAAACAAACTTCAGTGGTTTAAAAGTAGAAAACCTTAGGCAAAGACGAGAGTCGCATACAGAAGATACCAATTTTCAGGATGATGGAACTTTAATCGAGTAAAGCGAAAAACTTAGAACTGAATGCATGAAGTACGCGATCACTTAGAGCAGTGGTTCTCAGAGGGAGTGAAATCACCCATTTTGGTTAATTTGGGGGTCTTGTGAGGAATAACGAAGAGAGTCGAGAAATTAGTATTTCGTGCAGTTGTTATGTGATAGCAGAACGCAACTGTGGTGATTTCTTGGGGTATGTAAATTCGATTAGTTCATGGCAGCACTCCTCTCTGACCTATTTTCTGAGCACCATTATCTCATCTGGGCCTAAACAAGTCTTTTTAGTCACAAATATTTCGTAAATATTCGTTTTGTTCCAGAAAATCAATTTATTTCACGCCACTGAGGAATTTCCGGGTCGGTTTTCCTTTTGTTCCCCACGTTGTCCGTAGAAATTGTAAGTTTTTATATCAGGAGGGAAGGGGAGCGGGGTAACGGCGGTATGCTACATCATCAAAATGAGCAATGGAGCACCCGAGCGCGAGAACCACCGGTCTACGTGAATAAATAGAATAGTGAAGTACATACACTACAACTCCATATCCCATATTTCCACTTCTCCGGAGCATGCTAATCCGTTTCTCCTAACACAA